AGTAGTTATTTCGAAGTAAACCCGCTTCCTCTTCAGCTCCTCCTCATTCTCCATAATACGTAATTCTATATAGCTAATGAATATACAGATATGTTTGGTGTTTAGTGACCGTTAGTTAATGATTATTTGGAGATCGTGAGATGCGGTCTGGTGTGACGTAGGTTTTAGAAAAACATTTTCTTTACCGTGCCAACGTCTTTACTGAGATTATCTTCAGGGCTCAGTTTTTGTTTTCCGTGTATATGTGTCATTCTTGTCCGTCGTGTTGAGAGTGCCCATGATAGCCGGACATGAAAAACAAACACTTTGAGCCCTGAAGATGATCTTAATAAAGATCGAAACGTTGGCACGATAAAGAAAATGTTTTTCTCAAACCTACGTCACACCAGACCGCATCTCATGATCTCCAAATAATCATTAACTAACGGTCACTAAACACCAAACATATCTGTATATTCATTAGCTATATAGAATTACGTATTTTGGAGAATATTTAATGACAGTAATATCAATTTTATATTCCTCAATCTTAAATAATTAATAAAATGTTGTCTTCCTTATTAGGCAGACTATTCTGTCTTTTTCCTTTTTTTCATTTGTAATCTAATTGTTAAACACATCGCTTTTGGAACAAATTGTAATCAAATTTAACTGTAACATGACATAGAAATTTGGCCCTTTAATGAATATTTTTTGTGTGAAATTTTATGTAGAAACGCCTTGACCGGTAATTGTACCAGGTCGTTGGCCTCTGTGAACGCTTATCCAGGTAAACATTTTTATCCAGGGAAATCTAAATCCGGTAAAAGTTGCAATTTATTAACGGATAAATCAATCCATTCATCAATTTACCTCTGAATACTTCGAAACGCACTTGCAAAAGGGTGTCATAATGAAACCTCTATGATTATTCAGAAATCGTGAGATGCGGTCTGGTGTGATGAAGGTTTCAGAAATTTTCTTTATCGTGCCAACGTTTCGATCTTTATTGAGATCATCTTCAGGGCCTGGGATTTACAAACATTGTTTACATTTAACAAATACATTTAGGATGTGGAAAAGTGAATGATCTCTATGATAGAGTTAAAAATTGATAACTGTAAACATAACACACAGACTTTCTAAATTTTGTTATTAATGAACGTAGAATGCCGAAAAATCGTATACTGAACGAACCGTCGGGATCAAACAATAAAATATTTTGTAGACTTTCTCTCTCTCTCTCATCTTTCATAGAACCTACCAAAAGGATAAACGAAGGGTAAAATGGACAGACTCCACCACTGACTACACCCTCTATATGATTGTCAGGGGTAATGTTAAAAATAAATAAATAAATATAAAATATATATATAAAGATAAAAACCGGCAGAGAAGGATGATCAGTGATGATTGACAAGGATTTTTGTTTCTAGCGCGTTTCTTGAATGCATTTTAAAATAGCTATAACAAGACACGCGCGAATTAATCTCCAATAGAATTGTCTTATGTAAATAAGAGTATTTTTAAATTAATTTAATTTAATCATTAATTGCTCGGGTTTGGTAAAGGGAAGCCAGTGATAAATCACTAGGTGGAATGTCGATTCTAACGCGCCGTTTGAAAATTGAAATTTTTCTTCTCAATCACATCACTTTTTGTCACGGCAGGGCCATTTGAGAATCTAATTTTGTCTTGCTCTCCCACACGTGAAAATCCCCAATACTTAATTAAAAATAACTGTTCAATAAAATATGTTTTTAAAAGAAGAGGAGATCAAGGTGTAAATGAGGCTATTTTTTCAATACGATATCAATCCTTGCCAAAGCCCTTCTCCTATCTAGATTTATCTTGATATGAACACCAATGAGACCAAACAGTCAATATAAGTAGATATTACTTGAACATCCATCGTAAAACATGTTCATACCGGTATCCGGAACAAAAAGGCAACAAAAGAAAACAAAGAAAACAAAAAGAACAAAAGAAAACAAAAAGAAAGAAAGTAAGAGAGAGAGAGAGAGAGAGAGAGAGAGAGAGAGAGAGAGAGAGAGAGAGAGAGAGAATAAATGATAATAAAGCATACTAAGAAGAAAAAAAATAATACAGCTCTACTGATGAATTAAAAAGGCTTAATTTACCAGGTGCGTACCCGTTCGGTACACCTGCTGACATCAGAACGGATTTCTGAACTGCGATTTAATTAAAGAGCAGCTGGTGAGAGGTGAGCAATGCCCTGGAAGATTCTCGAAGCGCTGAAAATGTTCAAAAGAACGTATGGTGTTTAGTGGCCGTTGATTAATGATTATTTAGAGATCGTGAGATGTGGTCTGGTGTGATATTGGTTAAGAAAAACATTTTCTTTACAGTGCAAACGTTTCGTTCTTTAATTATTATTTAGAGTTCGTGAGATGCGGTGTGGTGTGATGAAGGTTTATAAAAACCTTCATTGGTTACGTTGGTGTCCGAGTGGAAATCAAGATACCTCAAGTGGTAGAGCAGCGGCGTATTTAGCGGAAGGTCGTGGGTTCGAATCCAGCTCGTGGCACTAGCTTTTTCATTTCGACCAAAACCTTACATAAAAGGATTAATTAATTGAAAGAAGTAATTTGATCAATAGACCACTAAATATAATGGGTTTATAAAAACATTTTCTTTATCGTGTCAACGTTTCGATGTTTGATTATCTTCAGGGTCTGGGGTTTATAAACATTGTTTAAATTATACAAATACATGTAAGATGTGAAAATGAATTTATACAATGTTGTACACAATATAGCTACATATAGATTACATGTAGAAATTTGAGGTTTAATCTAAGTATTTGCGTTCACTCAACGTGTTTTCTGAGTAGATGTGCCATTGTTGTGTGTCGTGTTAAGAGTGTTAGTGAGATATTAATGAATTTTGTTTGTATACGTTGGATTTTGAAGATGTGGGATAGGAAGTAGGGACAGAAATCCATTTTTCTATGAAGAGTCGGCTTCTTTGAGGTGAAAGGGGCCGACAGTTGGAAAAAAGGGTAATGCTATATTTCGGGCCTGGTTTGCCTTTCAGGATTATATAGATGGGGATTATTATGGAAAGGAGAGGTAAATTGTTGAAGAATTAAACTGTCGAATTGTTTGATGTGTGGAGTGTAATGATTGTTTTATATGTTTTGTGTGATGTGATGATGATATTTTGATATGATGATATCAAAATATGTTACAATTAATTAAGGTTTTCAGTTGAGATAAAAAAATTCAATGGCACGAGCGGGATTCGAACCCACGGTCTTCGGCTTGATGTGTCATGTAGTAGATGTGTCATTGTTGTGTGTCGTGTTAAGAGTGTTAGTGAGATATTAATGATTTTGTGTGATGGAAAATTCAAAAGGTGTGGTTGAGATGGGAGGTTGGTGTCCGAGTGAATCGAGGTCACGATAGCTCAAGTGGTAGAGCAGCGGCGTATCAAGCCGAAGATCGTGGGTTCAAATCCCGCTCGTGCCATTGACTTTTTTATCTAACTGAAAACCTTAATTAATTGTAAGATATTAATTGGTCAAGCGGATCACGAAACTAGTGAATTTATATGTATGTTATTGATATTGAATTTAATTAACGATTACAATTAATTAAGGTTTTTAGTCGAGATGAAAAAAAGTTAATGGCACGAGCGGGATTCGAACCCACGATCTTCGGCTAGATACGCCGCTGCTCTACCACTTGAGCTATCGTGACCTCGATCCACTCGGACATCAACTTCCTATCTCAACCCCACCTTATGAGTTTTCCCTCCATTTTGCCATTTTTCGAATCCCGCTCGTGCCATTAACTTTTTTTTCATCTCAACTAAAAACTTTAATTAATTGTAATGTAATAATTGGTCAAGCGGACCACGAAATTAGTGAAATTAATGATTAAAATGAAGTGGCCATTTCATTTGCCGTCGAGAATCCAATCCGATTACACGACAATTGAAAAATGGCAAAAAGGAGGGAAAACTCAGTTGGTGTTCAAAATGGTGGGTAGCCAGTGCTGTAGGATTTTGTTTTGATGACTTCAGACTTATTTGTTACTGGTGTAGGTTCTTTAATTTTGGAAAAAAAGAGTATGAATAGTTTTATAGTTTTTGAAGGCAATTTTAAAGTTATCAGAAGAAAGAAAAGTGTTTAATTGTGTGATAGGTCGTGAACGAATGTCGTGGATGTGTACGTTGGTTTGTCTGTGTTCGATAGAATTGATGTAGTGTTATTAGTAATTAATTAATCTTTATGTAAGGTATTGGTTGAAATGAAAAAGCTAGTGTCACGAGCGGGATTCCAACCCACGACATTCGGCTCAATACGCCGCTGCTCTAACCACTTGAGTTATCGTGACTTCGATCCACTCGGACACCAACTCCCCATCTCAACCTACCTTTCGAAGGTCGTGGGTTCGAATCCCGCTCGTGACATTAACTTTTTCATTTCAACCAATACCTTACATTAAAGATTAATAAATTGAAAGAAGTTGTTTGGTCAATCGGACCACGAAATATAATTGAGTTACAAGTACAACTCATAGACTCTTCGTAGAAAAATGGATTTCTATCCCTACTTCCTTCCCCACTTCTTGAAAATCCAGCATATATAAACAAAAAGAGTTAATATCTCAATCTCACTAACATTTTCAACACGACACACAACAATGACACATCTACACAGAAAACACAAAACATCATCGCATATATTCATTTTCAGATCTTACATGTATTTGTACAATTGAAACAATGTTTATAAATCCCAGGCCATGAAGATGATGTCAATAAAGATCGAAACGTTGGTGCGATAAAAAAAATTGTTTTTCTAAAACCTACGTCACACCGGACCCCATCTCACGATCTCCAAGTAATCAATTCAAAAGAACGACTTACCATTGTGTTTTTAAAAGACCTGAACGAAAATCCCGTCTTCGTTTCGAAGCCCTTTCTTTATTATGAAACAAGGATGCATTTTAGTCCTTTTGCCTTCCAGGCGATTAAAAATCAAGGAAACACGATTTTGGCTTTCAGATACTTTATTCACCTTTTTTTAAGCACGCTCGATAGAAGACTTGCGCTTGGAGATTTTCCGGAAAAGTGCCGCCCGCTTGCTTTTTGCGAGGTCTTCCGCAAGCATGGTCACCATGCGGTGGAGGTTGGTTTTGTCCGGCCCTCTGGTCATCTTGACATAGAAGCGGAAAGGGTCGTCAGGAAATATCGTCTCTGCCATGATCTTCGTTGCTGCCATTAAGTCTCCAAACGTGTGCCCAGTGGGGGACTTGGTCCTCCCAAATCTACCTTTACTATTGAATCTCTTCGGCCGGGCTATATAAGACATTTCAAAAAACGGTTTGATCGGCCAACATATGGAATGTACGCATTTTTAATGATAAACACATGGTATTTCTATTCTAGCTTTATGTATGTTATTAAGTGCGCAGTCCACTGACTAACCTTTACCATTAAAAGTGGATAAAAAGTTAAATTATAATCTTTTTCAAGTATTTAAATTGTTAATTGAGTTATGTGGTAAGTTTCTTTTTAAACAGTCATTGAGTTGTAGTCGAACATCCTGTAATCGAGAGCTCTGAACGACTTCTCTATAATATTTGCAACTTATGTGATATAGGGTTATACCCACTTATCATAGACGTTGTTGGTGAAGAGAAGAACCCTATTCTGGGTTACCCTGGAAAAACTGAACCCCTGGTTCATTATATGAGGTTCCCAAACGAACCCATAGGAGTACATTGGAATCAGCCGATGTAATGAAATGTACAGTAGACGCTGGTTGTGTCGAGGTTGTAGATGACAGATGATAGAGCAGATAACATCTGTAGGGACCGTAGTCGGATTTGAGAAATTATACATGCTCAGCCCTCGTCATTGTCAGTCGAGATGGACAACAGGGCGTCAGAGAGCTGTTGAGAATGAGCTTGAAGTTTGGTCCGTTTCCTATTATTCTGTCTGCCCACCATCGCTGTTTTGGTCAATTAGACACCCCCATATTCACTTGAGGTTTCTACAGATCAAACCAACAAAGATGGGCAAATCCAAATCAATAATTTCGAATGTCGGTGTGCTAATAATAACATAGGTGCATCCTTATGCCTTGGCCGAGATTTCTGATGAGAAATTATGAGTACAAATTAGATGCCAGTATTGATTAACTTAATTATCTCTATGTTAGTAGCGAGATAAATCTATGGTTATCAATAAAAAATTAACCTTTCAAATAAAAAAAAATCGTAAATTGGGATGGGATAAGGCATGCATTTAAAATACCGGCCTTGAAGAGATTCCGTTGGATTCCACGGTCGACTGAACAGAAGGAATCCACCGGAAACGAGAGGGTGGCCCAGTTCCGGCCACCTTAACAACTAGACGGTTACCTGAGAAATTTTTATTATAATGCACTGACAATAATCACAACGGACCTAATTAAACAGGCTAGAAACTCGATGATCTGCAGTTTGGCACGTTGGTTTGATAGTACGTGGCAGGAATTTCGCTGGACCAGAGCTTAAAATGTTTATTTCGAGAAATCACATGTGAAGAACTTACACGTGTTACTTTACATAACTTTTATTGGTTTGAAAACAAAGAGGCAAATGATCCCGGCTAGTGTTAAAATTATGGCCAGGGTCGCTAACGCACACCATAGTTTGGCGCGTGAACGTTTTACTCTGCTCTCAAAAGTAGTTGAGGAAGTCGCAGGAGTGTTGCGAACCGAACAACTCCTGCAACTCGGTGCCCTTTCAGCGTAAATGTTGTCGCCTTGCTCTTCTTGTTCTTCTTGCTTTTTCTTCGGTCTCAGTACCTCGAAGCCGATGTGGGCTTTTGGCAGTCTCCTGGTGTTGGTCGGCTGCGGCTGCGGGATTTTATTCGCTATACACGACCCAGGACGGACGTAATTGGCTATGTACTGCTGGTCGAAGGTGAAATTCGGAGGCGGTATGAAACTATACCCATACGGGTACATGAACGCAGTGAACCCGTATCATTTTGAGACTTGTGACACGTCTTGTTATTTTTTGTGGATGATTTGAACACCACGCCAACAGAATAAAAACAATTCATATGTATTTTATTCAGCATTTGTTTTTTTTCTTTAAAACCGGTTTTATCTTTTAAACAACAATGCACTACATCAAAATAATTTTATTTTAGGAGCTATATAATTTAATATGGTCTCTACAATTGTGTGAATGTTTTTAAGGTTTACTCGTGCTGCTACATAAGATAATCTTGTTTTATGTTTACTTATTTTAAGGGATACTAATTTTATTTATATAGTGCTCATTAAACGTTACACGATCATTCTGGTTTGGATCGCTCGTTTTGACTATGTCACCACATTTTAGCATAACGTAATCTTCAACAGTCGTCAAGTTTTCAATCATGCTTCTTTTCTTTAAAGCGGATTTTTTACTTAAGTTGTCGCTTGTAGGTTTTTTTATCACAACTTTGTGAATCGGGTTCAATGTACGCTTCTAGGGTGAAAATTTTGTTTTTTCTTTTGTACAAGACCTTTGTTCGTTAGCTTTTGTAATCGTTATACTATGTTTTTTTTGCTGGCAGTTCTTGTTTGTATTTTTCAGTGATAAGTCTTATTGAATTTAATCTACCGATCTGCGATTTGCGTCGAACCTCACATTCACACGCACATTCGCACTCAGTCATACCACATTCGGATTGGACATGACGCTCGAGGAGGGCAGCCGGCTAACTCCTCCCTTGGTCCTACCGCCCGTACTCGTCCTGTTACATCATGTTAGCCAAGTAGACTATTTTGGCATACCTTTGCCGAACTAAGTTCTTGGAATTTAGATCGAGGCAGGCCGGTTTTCGCCTCTTCAATGTCGGGTCGAAGGTAGACTAGGTTGTCCAATTCCTGGTCGCGCTAGATTGTCACGGTGGAATTGTATGCGAATTGACAGGAGCTTGAGGTGATTTAAGATGATGGTAGCTCTGCTTACCTTGTCTGCACTGACTCCTTCAGTCAGGTTCATGTTGTCCTTGACAGGCCCTTCTTTGACCCTCTCTATGTGCTCTTGTTGGAAAGATCCATGAACTGTAGCACCTCGTCAAAACGCTGGTGGTTGTCTGCCTACCTGGGCAGAGAGGTCTGGAAGGTATCGAAAATGTGGATGAGCCGGCTAAGGCTAAGATTGGCAGAGAAGCTCTCACATATCAAGAGCACAGGTGGCCCTCAGGGATTCTGACTCGTAGAAGAGGGGCCATCCACACCTGATTAAGAATACGCCATGCGAGGTTGACACACGCATACTTACTTAAATCCCAAACCAAGGCCAAACCCTGCGTAACTGTCGGGCAAAAAAACGTTGCTCGGTGTATCCAACTTAATTGAACAGTGTAATTCCTTGCTTTCACATGGAGAGTATGTAGGAATGCCACCCGGTATAAGAATTGAGCTTGTTCCGAGTTTTAATATATCAGTACTTTATAGATATTTCGTCTTGTGTTACTTTTATATATTGAGGCAAGTTATTTATTAGCGTGAATGTGTAATGGATGGTTTAACTGAGTGAATGGTTTATGAATAGGAAAGAATGTATTTAAGAGTGAGAGTGCGATGGGGTTTAGATTTAAGAATGTATTGCGTTGGGTACTGAAATGACCTAGCAGTTGATAAGCCCTGGAATCCAACTTAGGCGTCTGGACAGATAAGACCTAGGTCTGACCCCTGACTTCCAACACCCGAGGTGAGTTATTCTCGAGGCCTGCAGGTAATTTGACGTAACAAACACAAAAGCTGGAATTGCCGACCGCTGCGAGAAGTGGTAAGTCCAACCCTGTACTCGTATGTAGTATGTACATCCATGCGCAGGGTTGAGCTTATATAAAATAGTAAACAGTCTAATTCAGTGTACTTCGGTTTTGAAAATATTGGCTTCGTAATGTTTGGGTGAACATTTTTCTCATGATTTCATTCGAAGGAAAGACGGAGGAGGTTTGGGGCTTTGCACCAATTCCCATCCAGTTTTCAACAATGTTCACGTATAAATAAAAGCCAAAGGACTTTTTTTGTTCCGTATTGACCATATGATAGAAATCAACTTTTGTGTAAAACATATGATTTATATTTTAAACGAGGAAACATTATTTTATTACGATTATTTTGAAATAGAAGCCGAGTATGAGGCCGACGGTGATGGCTACGACTAAAATGATGAGGCAGCTGCAGAACCAGCAGAATCCGTCGCAGAGGCGCGCCCGCGGCACCCGCTGACGACCTCGGGCCCCCGGAGGGTACGCGCTATAATCGGAAGAATCTGTCGTCGAAGTGTCCGTAACTTCCCCCCGAATCCGTCGGTGTTTTTGCCGTGGGGATGCCAAGCCCGGGGGTGTGGGCGGCTCCCCGGGGGAAGGTGGACGAACTGGCCCCGCTTGGTGCAAGGGCGGCGGCGGAGGAGATGCCGGTGGAGGTGGAGGTGGAGGGTAGTAGTACGGGTACGGATATGCCATTTTACAAGGCCAATGGTCAACTAACGAACATGATCAACACCGTTTTCACGACGGTCAAAATTCGAAGACTCACCTGCAAACGGTGAGCAGAAGACTCCTTCCTCTTCGCCGCTTCAGGAATAGCAGACCTCTTTACAGTTAGTACTCTAAAGACGAATAACAAGTATGTTGTACTGTTTCAGTATAGTTTTACTTATTAAATCGTATTTTTATATTTTAACACATGTACTCTTGTACATTACTTGGATTACTGACATACACATAAGTCGTCGACGATACAATGCCCTTAGAAATTATAAAATACAAATTATTAAGGCGAAACCTTTGTTTCCGAACTTTCTTTTTTTAATAGTCGTTTCTTTAAGACAGACGAAACACAGAAAGACAGAAATCGACACCCGATAGAAGGCTGGAAAGCAGCTGAAACAAACACAACACCCTGGTTGGTCGGACCGAATCGTGATCAACATCTGATAGAAACAAAAATCCATAATAAGATATTTTAACATAAGTACTTTACTAATTGCTCCTGCCGTAAAATATGTATTGTTTTATTAAGGATTTTATGTAGATCGAATTTTAATTCTTCCTGTTTGTTGAAAATAATTTATGTTATTGCAAGAACATTTGGACCATGTTAAGACGGAAAATCGACTTTATTATTAGTTGTTACTGTCAATACTATCATAATTACTTAAAGTACATAAATGTTTTTTTATCATGTCGTTACACCAGAAATATGTTCTCATAGAAAGAAAAAAATAAGATTCGGAAAAAGTAGTCGAGTACTATCACATTTCAGAAGTTGACTGGTTTTCGTAAGTACAATGCCAACAATTATATTACCCAATCACATATAAACAGAAGGGACTCTATATCAATTTTTATGAATTGCGTACTGTAATATGAACATAGTACTGTTATTTTTATTATTTACTTATTAAATGTTAAATAGAAAATTTAGATTGCTTTATGGAACTGTATATCATACTATAGCATGTAAACCGTAGACACATTACAGTACCTTGTACACAATACTATGATGGTGACATGTATTTATGATATCTCTGTAAATAGGATATTGTATCATTTATTACTATGATCAAAGTTTATGGCGATATGCTATGTATTTATACTTGTACATATTTATTTGGAGATCGTGAGATGCGGTCTGGTGTGACGTAGGTTTTAGAAAAACATTTCCTTTATCGTGTCAACGTTTCGATCTTTATTGAGATCATCTTCAGGGCGTGGGATTTATAAACTTGGTTTAAATTATACAAATACATGTGGGATGTGAAAAAAATGAATTAAACAATGATAGAAATTTTAGACTCTCTCAAAGTGTTAGATTTCCGAGCAGTTGTGTCATTGAGAGTGTCACAGAGACATTGATGTTTTATGTTTATATACTGATAACATTGATAATATAAACAATTGGTTTCTAAACCAGCAAAAACTAACATTCCACCAGAAATCCAAAACTTCCTATCACTTGGTTCCAAACATTCCATCCCTTACAGCAAAACAGATTTCCCAACAGATAATTACTGATGTAGACCATACAATTCAAAATTCAACAAAAACAGAACAAGAAAAAGGCACAACACGATGATCAAAATTCATTAATACAATGACAAATCACTTACAACACCTCACTACATATCACCACAACATATCTCAACAAACATGCATCAAAACAAAAAAAATTTCAAAAATAATCCTGACATACAATTTTTTTTTGGTGATAAAACAAAACAACTGGAGCAATCAGCAAAAAAGAGTACAATGAAAAAATTAACAAAATTATCAATGACACAAACACATACAGCACAATCAAATCAGACCCTACCCCTTCTCTCATCCAACAGACAATCAAAATCCTTCAAGAAACACTTAATCAAAAAGAAATTGACATATACACCTACAAATTACTTCAAAACAATTCTCCAGCACCCCCGAAACCATGTGGATCTTTCAAAACTCATAAACCTGAACAACCGCTAAGACCAACAATTTCAGTTGAAAATTCCCCTACATATAATATGACAAAATACGTAACCAATATACTCAACATCATCACAGATAACACAGTAAAAGATTCATTTCATTTCATTAACAAAATTAATAATATTCACATCCCCTCACACTACTCTCTCATATCCCTAGATGTTTCATCTTTGTTGACCAACATTCCAATAGACACAACACTGTACATTATTAAGAATAAATGACCCAATATAACAACACACACAAGACTTATCAAAAAATGAGACATCTCACAGAAAACAAACACTTTGAGCCTTGAAGATTATCTCAATAAAGATCGAAACGTTGGCATGATAAAGAAAAATATTTTTCTAAACCTATATCACACCAGACCTCATCTCATGATCTCCAAATAGTCATCAATTAACGATCACACCACTCACTTTTTCATATTGTACATAAAATTGTCGAGAAAGGCTTTTCATATCAATTTTGACGATAAGCGTTTTAAGTAGATCTTTCAAAGAAAGAAATGTCTCGGTGAAAAAATAAAAATGCGAAGGGTCAGCGTTTGTTCCGCGTTTCGTTTTCTTTGACCGTTTCCATTTTTGTATTTCTAACGTAAGATCTGTTGTCTTAAAATTAAAACAGGAAGCGGATTCCTAATTAGCAGTTGTAAAAAGAATGAATCAAAATCGGTTCATTCTTATGTTTGTAAAATTCTTAAGTTTCTCAAAAAATTACGATTTATTATTTAAAATATTAGTTTTGGTGTAAAGAAAAAACATTTTTAGAATAGATTTGCTCCTAGTCAAATAGCTAATTGGTTTATGCCAGCTGGGCTCTTTTTAATTTAAACTGGCAATGAGTTTAAAATGTATTCATTCATCATTAATTTGACACGAATAAACAGTTCATGATATTCCCTCTCAAAAGTTTGAAGAAAAACAAAATTTAGCAGTCGACTGCCTATTTGAAGGCATGCCTTTAGTACAGATTATATATACAGGGTGTCCTGGCGATAAGTGTCTAAAATTTCAGGAGGTGTTTCTACTCACAATATGCAACAAAAACTTCCTGTAAACCCCTGTCCAAATCTCAACGGTAAAGAAGTAATTTAAGGTTTTGGTTTTTTTTTAATTTTTCGACTTAGGTCTACTAAATTGTTTATAAACTTCAGAATTACTGACAGTAGAAAAATCTGGTTTGTGCCACTTAAAGAACGTAAAATTTGCTGTAAGGAAACCCATTTACATTGCAGAATTGATGAAAAAATTCTGCACGAAAAATTCAGAAAAAACAACAATGTCGAAATTTGGATTTTTTTAAAATGTTAAATTGGTAACTGTTAATAAATACAAACTTCTGGAGCTTTGTAAATTCCCTCAAAAGTTCTCCATTCAATTACCTTCCAGCGGTATACCTACCTTTTTGGATTGCGCTTCTGGAAGGCCCAAAAATTTTGAATTTTGTTGGGGAAAAAAGAGGGTGCAAAGTTTGGAACGAAATGACTACCATCAGTGAGTGGATTTTTTTTCTCATCTACATCAATCACCCTCGTAAAATGGCAAGGGTGGGTACAATCCTTCCGGACGGAAGGTATCCCAACCTCTCCATTGTGAAACACCAAGGTCTGTACATATACAACAGTATTGTTTTTGAAAGAATTGCCTGCTTTATTTTTCTAATAACCGCTTATCTTAACCAATGTAGGGATACGGATAGGGATAAAAGAGGCGGCCTCAAGGCTTTCTGCACCTCGACCTGAATAGATCTATTGTGCTCCCCTGTTGTTTATAACTCACTGGCCAGCTTCAGGTTATTAACCAGCCTCCACAGCTTTGCCAGCGGCTTCTTGGTGTAGGATCTTGATTGCGGTTTTTCTTATCCTAGTTGCAAGAACCTGCACCTACATAGACCTTCACAGAAACATAAAATGTGTTCTGCGGTGTTCTCCTCTTCCTGGCAGAATCTGCACAGTGTTTCTTCTATCTGCACTCCTATCCGGTGCATGTGCTTTCTTAAGTGGCAGTGCACTGTCAGGAGTCCAACCAGAATCCTGGTGTTGCGGTTGCCTTCCAGTAATTCTTTTGTAAGTTTTTAACCACTTGAGCTATCGTGACTTCGATTCACTTTTTTTCCATCCTTTTTGCCATTTTTAAATGTCGTGTAATCAAGATTCGATTCTCGGCTACAAATGAAATGGCCACGGAGAGCTCTTACTGAAGATATACTTCGTTTTGCTTATTAAATGGAGAGAAGGGGAGTTGGTGTCCGAGTGGATCGAAGTCACGATAGCTCAAGTGGTTAAAGCAGCGGCGTATTGAGCCGAAGGTCGTGAGTTCGAATCCCGCTCGTGACACTAACTTTTTCATTTCAACCAATATCTTGCATAAAGATTAATTAATTGAAAGAAGTTATTTGGTCAATCGGACCACGAAATATAATAGATTTAACAGTATGAATGTTAGTCAATGTCAAGTCTTCACCTGTATGTCTTTTCTTTTGAAAATATCTTTTATTTTTGTATCGTCTCATTAATATCTATGTATCTTATGTACATGTATGTTTACACATATCCTTTACGTTTTATTTTGTTTCGACTAGGTTGCATTATAACCAGGAAACATGTCGTATATGTCGTATTAAAATATTATACGAGATCGACCTGTATTCAAAGTAATGATGATGAGGATGAAGGTGAGGTCATCTACAGAAACAAAACACTAGTTATCCGCCAAGCTTTCGTTATTTTTTTTTTCCTGGGGCTTCCGACATCTAGGTCATTTCAGCCCCCCACTAAGTCTATATTCTATATTCTATACCCGTTCAAACACAACATTCATACAAATAAATACATTCATACACTTAAATACATCCATACAGTACACTCATTCCGTTTGGTCGGTGGAGTACTTGATATTCCTCCACCGACCTACACTTAAACTAAACTAGATTGGGGTCGATGGGGTACTTTTATAAATATTCCGCCATCGACCCCGAACACACACTCACTCGCTTTCATCGTTCGAGGGGCGATGATGACGTTATATTCACCCTCACCCCTCGCCATTCACGCTAATAAATACATGCACACAGACAAAACATATAGACACATAACACATAAGACATACTATATACAATAAAAAAACCCAATTTCCCCTAAAAAGCGGAACAGGAGACCCTGAAACCCGCTACCGTGCTCGAGGACTCTTCTTAAATCCGGCGGCCTTTCGTTATTATAACTAGTATTTTGTTCCTGTAAATCTCACCTTGATCCTGATAATCAATACGTTGTGACATGACGGCAAGTAGATTTTTTA